TTCGCTTATTGTTCCACGTGAAAGTATGCCCGTTAAAAGAGATATTATGAAGATGGCAGTCTGTTAGGGTTGACTGAAAAGCCCGAGAAGAAGATTGATTTCGGAAAGACCCTCCACTACGTTCTGAAAGCAAGATGGTTTCGTTGAAGTCCCTTCCACAAAGCCAAGGTTGATTTATTGAGGAGTGTAATCTTCGAATTAAGTTCCAAGTGTGATAACGATGCTCCATTTTTGTCTGTCCATAAATTCCCGTAAAACGCCATCGTCTATTTTCTTGATCTTCAATAACCGCATCAATGTGCCCTGACGAGAAGGATTGGATATCAACCTTCCATCTATCCGACCACAACAACATAAGACCGCCACCAAGTCCTGAACAGTCCACCACAAAATTACCAGTAAAAAAAAAGTAGTTACGAATATTTACTGCCCTCACTCCTGACAATCTAGTCTCCGACATTTAATTAATGAGAAAACAAGATTTCATGCAAACTTCTTCATTAATCTCTCCCATATGAAATTCTACTCTGATAAATGGTACATCATACCAACCACTACCAGAGCTCTATAAATCGAGACAAGTTCGGACGATTGAACTTTACCGGTAACTCGCACTACGAAAAAAACTCTTACATTCCAACAAAAATTTTCCGTTGAAATTTTTTGTATTTCCGTTGGAATAGCTATTCCAACGGATATTCCTACGTTTAAAAATCCGTTGGAATAACGGCCATTGGAATAGCAAATATCTAACGAAAAATCCTATGGAAATAAATTCCTACAGCTATTCCAACGGAAAAAATCTGTTGGAATTCCTCAACTATCCAACACTTATTCCAACATAAAATTAAGTTTGTTGGAATATTCATTGGAATTTCCAACAGAAATTTTTGTCGTTGAAATTTTTCGTTGGAATTGTAGTTTTTTTTTGTAGTGTCGAATGAAGATTGGACAACACAGTGGCTTAAGGTTGGGACAACCAACAAAATAAATGATGAATGACTCCATAAGAAAAATCATCCGATGGCTCTATATAATTTTGTCATTTACATGTACCTTTTGTGAGTATATACAGTTCAAATAACACACGGAGAAAGCCTTATTAAGCTCTTCCTATATTATTAATGTTTGTCGTGTCGTC